TCGAATTCTTCCAGGTTCCCATTTGCCTGGAGTGTTGGGAGTGGGGAAGAGAAAGACTCTGGCCCTGGCCCTGTTTGGGACTGGTCAAGTCAATCTGAGGACACTGGAGACAAGTTTTGGAAAGTTTTTGTTTGTTTGTTTTTATGTTGCCCAGGCTGGTTTTGAACTCCTGATCTCAAGCAATCCTTCCACCTTGACCTCCCAAAGTGCCCACAAAGTGCTGGGATTACAAGCGTGAACCAACAAAGCTTCAGATGAAACTCTTTCAGCTTCATCTGTCTGGGGGTGGGGAGGGCTTTGGTGCTCAGGGGTTGAGTGACATCTGTCTTGCATGCATTTTCCCGTTCTATCTGCTATTGGCCACATGCTGCAGCCTCAGACACCTGTGTTTTCTGCACTCCTGTCTGGGCATGACAGCTATGGCCCAGAGTCAGACCCAGAGCAGTCCAAATCATCTCTGGCATGTTTGGGTGGATATAGATGGCTTCTGTGGCATCTGTTGTGGGGTGTCACTTGGCCTTCCCAAGGGAATGCAGTCCTGGTGCCTAGGAGTGCTGCTTGACTGAAATCCAAGCAGAGGGTTTTGCAGGCAGATAAGATCTGGGTGACAGGCTCCCTACTCCAGCTCGCCACTGGTGACAGCGGTGACAGTGGGGATGAGCAGGCTCTGACGCTTGCGTGCATGGGCGCCCTGACCCCGGCAGGAGTTTCTCTCTGCCCTCCCCCACCCCGATCCTCACTAATCCCCGATTAGGGCTGACACTCCAAACCCGCCCTCGGCCCAGAGAGCCACAGCTTAGTGCCCCCCTCCTACCCTGCCTTGTCCTGACATCACTCTGTCCTGCCTGAGGAGACTAGCTCTGTGCCTGCGTGAAAAACTGCTGGGAACAACCCCATCACATGCAGCATCCTCTCGGAAAAGCAGAGTTTTCTTTTTTCTTTCTTTTTTTAAAAATAGAGACAGGGTCTCACTGTGTTGCCCAGGCTGGTCTTAAACTCCTGGACTCAAGCGACCCTCCCACCTCGGCCTCCCAAAGTGCTGGGATTACAAGGTGTGAGCCAGCACACCTGGCCGAAAAGTGGAATTTTCTAGCCAACAGAGACAGTAACTCCTCCCATTCTAAGTTTCATCTCAGCCTTGTGTTATGAAACAGAAAGAAACTCTTCCTTCTTCTGACTGAGCCCCTTCCTTCTCCAGAAGGGGAGACTGAGACCTGTGAGCTGGAGGAATTTGCCCCGTTGGCCTGCCCCAGGCTGGGATCTTCACAGCTCATCTGTGACTGTGCCATGTGCCACTGTGGGAAGTGAATTGGGTGTGGAGACCAAATGTTCCCTTCACGCGAGGTCCAACAAGAAGGGCTGAGAGAGGGTGGTATGTGAGGTGTCATCAGGAACAATGGGTGCATGTCTCCTGGGAGCTGGAAGTTGTCGATGCCCTGGGAACACTTTGCTCTCTTAGAACCAATGACTGGAGCAGTATAGGGTCCCTGTATTAGAGGGGAACCTGGATTCCAACCCTCCCTTTGGAAATGTTTTAAAATTACACAGACAGTAGTTTGGGCAAACAGGAGAGGAAACCATTGCTGACCTGTCAGGTGGATGCCAGGTGTGTAGGGAACACAGGAGACTCATCCCAGAGAGCATATAATATGCATGCCCAGCCAGGTGAGGTGGCTCACACCTGTAATCTTGGCACTTTGAAAGGCTGAGGAGGGAGGATATCTCGAGGCCAGGAGTTTGAGACCAGCCTGGGCAATCTGGGCAATGTAGTGAGACCTTGTCTTTACACACACACACACACACACACACACACACACACACCAGAGAATTAACTGGGTGTGGTGGTGCATGCCTGTAGTCCTAGCTACTCAGGAGGCTGAGGTGGAAGGATCACCTGAGCTAAAGAGGTCAAGGCTCCAATGAGCCATGATCTTGCCTGCACTGCCACCTGGATGACAGAGTGAGACCCTGACTCAAAAGAAGAAGAGAGAGAGACAGAGAGAGGGAAGGAAGGGAAGGGAAGGGAAAGGGAAAAGGAGGGGAAGGGAAGAAAAAAGACACATGTCCACCCCCCACATCCAGGCTTAGTGGGCTTGTGCTGGAGGAGTGTGGAGAGCAGACAGTGAGTGAGATCCCTGGGTTGAGAATCAGAGTGAGAAGCTGCTGTCACACAGCTGTTCCTAAACCAGTCATCCCTTGATTACCCATCACCCAACAGCACCTTGGGGTGGTGGTTTTTGGTTTTTGTTTTGAGTTGGCATCTTACTCTGTCACCCAGGCTAGAGTACAGCATCATGCTCATGGCCACTGTGGCCTCAACCGGCTGGGCTCAAGTGATCTTCCCACCCCAACCTTCCAAGTAGCTGGAACTACAGGTGTGCACCACCATGACCAGCTAATTTTATTGTAGAGACAAGATCTTGCCAAGTTGCCCAGGCTGGTCTCAAACCTCTGTACTCAGGCAACTCACTCGCCTCTGCCTCCCAAAGTGCTGGAATTGCAGGTGTGAGCCACCATGCCCAGCAGGGTGGTGGTTTTAGCTTCCTCTCTGGCATCCTCCTGGGTCTGGTGTTGCAGACACCTAATTCTCATTGATCTGATCATGCTTTGGTCTTGGGGAACAGCAGAGCCCAGAACTGGCTCCATGTCACAGGTCAAGCTACTTAAGACTGAGAGCTAATATTGTATTATCCAAAAACAGCAACAGCTGTTCCCCTGTATGCACATTGATATTTACAAAATGTTTCATGATAATTGCCATTTATGCCAGCAGTGGGTCCCACCTCCTGGCACTGGAAGCCAGCTGCTTGTAGCCGTGGTCCCTCTGGTGGTCCCCACCTGTGGGTGTGCAGCATGCCTCCCTAGGCTGATGGATCACATGTGGGCAGCACAGTCCAGAGTGAGGGTCCTGTCCTCTTGCCAGCATTCTGGGCTGGTCCAGCAGTGACTCACCCCAGCTGGCCAAGGCCCTGGATTAGAAGGGTCCCCAGAGCTGTTTGCTTCCCTAATCCTGTAGTCCAGGACTTCTTCAGAAGAATGTTTTAAATGTCAGTGACCAAAACTATTGGACAATTGGCAGTCTTTGTAAAAATAAAGATGCGGAGTGAACTTAGAACGCGTTATTAATAGCTCTGACTGGCATGGGAGTCTCTGCACTTAAAAAGTCAATAATGTGGCTGTAAGACTTCAGAGTCTTTGTATTATATAATGGCTTGTCCATCGTGCTTACAAAAGTGAACACTCCTTGACCAGGGGTAGTGGCCATAGTGTGGGCAGCCAGTGGGTCAGACTCTGAAGGCCACTTTGGGGAAGGGCCACAAAGCTGCCCCTCTCCTGCCCATAGAGGGGACACAGGCCTCTCGGGGGCTGTGACCCATCCTTCAACTGGCCTCCTCTCTATCACTCAGTCTCTCAGGGATCTTTCCTATTTGGGACCTTCCCACGGGTCACTCCTTTTGTTTGGAATTATCTCCTTTCTCCTTATTAAACTTCCCTAAATCTTTCTCAGAGTCACAGCTCAAAGGTCCTGAATCCTCCCATTCTGCCAGGATGCTGCCCTCCCCACCACCCCCATCACCTGTGCCCTGGTCAGCTCCCAGCACTGTGAACTGGTGCAGGGAGCTGCAGGCTTTCCACGCAGAGCTGGATGCAGGGTCCAGCATGAAGCTGGTGGTGATGGGGTGAACGACGACCCCTGGAGGTAGAGGAATGGTGGCTGTGTACATCACATCGTCTGGTTACAGACCTTCCAGCTTAGGAGCCAGCCAAGTCTGGGTAAAACAAGCTGTTTAACATGCTTTGTTTTTCACTTCCAAAGAACCAACATTAAAGGAGGCTCACTGATGACTTAGCAGGTCGTCAACATGAAGCCCAGGAGTAGGCGCCAGCCAGCTTGTTCTCTACACTCGCCTGTTCTCCCCACAAGACGGGAACTCAGGAAAGAGTGGGTGTCCTGCTCATAGCAACTAAAATTCAGCCAAAGCTAACTTCCATTCCCGTGGACCCCTGCACATATTGAGGAGGGAAGGAACTTCTGCCCTTGGAAGGGCCCAGGAGGAATCCTTGAAGCTGAATGCCGGGCTTGCGCCCCAGCCTTGCACTTCCCAGCTGCATGACCCTGGGCAAGTCCTCACCTCTTTGTACCTCCGTAGAAGGGATAACGTTGGGTTTAGACCAGAAAACAAAATCAATTTCCTTAAAGATCAGATCTGTGTGAGGCATTGAGCAAACTGCCTTTGTGGTTTGTAATTTTTAATTTTGAACAGCTTTTAAATTACAGAAAAGTTGAAAAAGTAATTCAGTTTCCACATATTCCTCACTCAGCCTTACAGAAGCATAGATCCATGATCAGAACCAAGAAATTAACACTGGTACAATGTTACTATCATTCATAATACCATGAAAGTAACATTGTAAAGACATGGGGAAGTAACATTGCCACAACGCCTGTAATAACTAAACTGAAGGCCTTGTTTGAATTTCACCGGTGTTCCACCAGTTTCCTTTTAATCGTTCTAGGGTCCCATTCGGGATTTCCCATGGCACTGAATTGTCACTTCTTCTTTGTTTCCTGTTATCTGTAATGGTTTCTCAGTCTTTCCTTGTTTTTCATGACCTTGACAACTCAAGAATATCGATCATCGTTTTGCTGAGTGCCCTCTGTGTTCTCATGTGGTTGGACTGAGGTTACACAAACCCCTGAAGTGGTGCGTCCCTCGAGTGCCTGCATCCTGGGCTCATGACATCAGTGTGATTTGCTGGGGATGTTGGTCTTGGTTCCTTGGTGAAGGTGGTTTCTGCTGATCTTCTGAATTCCTCTTGTATCTTATGTTTCCTTTTATCTTTCTCCCCATAATTGACAAATGTCTTGGGGAGGCACTTTGAGATGATTCAATTCTGTTGTTTCTCAAACCTTTCTTCCCTAACTTTTGTGTTCATGGGCATATCTTTTCTGTTACAATCACTTACATGCAGTTTCTTAGTGGAGATTTTCTGTTGCCGTCTTCCTTCTGCATTTATCAGTTGGAATGCTACTGCAAGAAAGGGCTGTCGTATCTCCTTCTAGATATTTTGCTGATTATTTATATCAATATGGATTCAGATATTTCTCTTATGCTGTGGCTTATGATCCAACACTACCATGGTTTATTTTGTTTCTTAAACTGCTCTCCTGTGGGTCATTAGGTGTTCAATGAAAAGGAGGCTCTTCTGTTCTTCCATCAAGCCCTTAAAAAAAAATTTTTTTTTTGACACTTCCTTTGGTTCCTCAAGATGTTTGTTTTAGGCTCATCATCTTCTGGCCCTGGATTCAGTCAATTCTCCAAGCAACCCTGGTTCTTTTTGTTGGAAAAGTGTTTAGAAACAAGATCTAGGGCCTGGGCATGGTGACTCAAGCCTGTCATCCCAGCACTTAGAGCGGCTGAGGCAGGAGAATTGCTGGAGTAGGAATGCAAGACCAGCCTGGGCAACGTAGCGAGACCTCATCTCTACAAAAAACTTTTTTAAAAAATTAGCTTCATGTGATGGTGCACATCTGTAGTCCCAGCTACTCAGGAAGCTGAGGCAGAAGGGTCACCTGAGCCTAGGAGGTCAAGGATACAGTGAGCTGTGATGAGGCCATAGTACTCCAACCTGGGCGACACAGTGAGACAAAGAAAGAAAGAAAGAAAGAGAGAAAGAGAGAGAGAGAGAGAGAGAGAGGGAGAGAGAGAGAGAGAGAGAGAGAGAGAGAGAGAGGGAGGAAGGAAGGGAGGAAGGAAGGGGAAAGATCTGGACACTGTGTGCTCATTACTGCTTGGGTCTCACTGCACCTGCACCCTTTCAGTCAATAGAGCTGGAAAATATATTTGTGTATATGAACATACACATATATATTCACATTTATATTTCTGTATCTTTCTCTCAGTATGCATCTCAAAAACCATGAATGTATCCTAACACCTTGGGTTGCAGTCCAGCAGCACAGAGTTCATTTTAATTTTCCCCTTTTCTTATTCTTTTTTCTTTTTTGAGATGGAGTCTCACTCTGTCACCAAGGCTGGAGTATAGTGGCATGATCACGGCTATCACAGCCTCAACCTGCTGGGCTCTGCATCAGTCACCCAAGTAGCTGGGACTACAGATGTGCACCACCATGCCCAGCTAATTTTTTGATTTATTGTTGAGATGAGGTCTCATCATGTTGCCCAGGCTGGTCTTGAATTTCTGGGGTCAGGCAATCCTCTCACTTCCACCTCCAAAAGTGCTGGGATGACAGGTGTGAGCCACCATGCCTGGTCCCCCATCTCTTACTATTAACACCCTTCTCTGAGAGTGCAACATCTGGTGCTTCTTCTTGATAATAGATTTACTTATTTGTTCAGTTCTACTGTATGTATAAAATAGCTTATAAATTGCTAACCCATTCCCCTGTGAGAAATACATGTACTAGATTACAGCATTTATATGCAGTCAAGGTGTCGTTTCCCAAAGTTTCTCAGGTTATATTTATTTTCTCTTTCTTTCTTTTCTTTTCTTTTCTTTTTTTTTTTTTTTGGTTTTTGTTTTTGTTTTTGTTTTGGTAGGAATCTCACTCTGTTGCCCAGGCCACTGCAGCCTCAACCTGCTGGCCTCAGGAGATCCTTCCACCTCAGCCTTCCAAGTAGCTGGAACTACAGGTGCGTGCCACCACTCCTGGCTAATTTTTTAATTTACTGTAGAGATGAGGTCTTGCCAAATTGCCCAAACTGGTCTCAAACTCCTGGGCTTAGGCAATCCTCTCAACTCCACCTCCCAAAGTGCTAGGATTACATATGTGAGCCACCACACCTAGCTACATTTATTTTCCCACCTTTTTCAGGATGGTTATGGTATTCCCTTGTAATACATGTGTTTGTTTATGCATCAGAGCAACACAGTATTGATTATGGAGGCTCTGGTGTGCCCATGTGTCTGTATGTGTTTTGAGTCAGGATCTTACTCTGCTGCCCAGACTGAAGGGCAATGGCATAATTATAGCTCACTGCAGCTTCAATCTCCGGGGCTCAGGTGATCCTTCCACCTCAGCCTCTCAAGTAACTGGGACTATAGGCAAGCGCCACTACACCTGGCTAATTTTTTCATTTTTTGTAGATACAAGATCTCATTGTGTGACCCAGGCTGAACTCCAACTCCTGGGCTCAAGTGATTTTCCCACCTCAGTCTCCCAAAGTGCTGGAATTACAGATGTGAACCACCATGCTCAATGTCTTGGGGGTGGGGGGGAGGCTAGTCACCCTTGTCGTTTTTCTGTGTTTTCCTGGCAATTCTTGCATGTTTCTTTTTCCAAGTGGATGTAAAGTCTTCCTTTAGTCTAAGTGGAATGGAGTCTGGAATGGGGGCTGTCAGCAGGGACAGAGTGGCAGAGATGCAGGGGTGCCTGAGCCTTGTGGTTGTGTGCTGCAGACACACCCTGCTCCGCAGACTTGAGCACCAGGCACATTAGAAAAGGTAATGCTATCTCTCTTCATAACTTACTTTCGTTGTGAGAACACCCTCCTGACATTCAGTTTCCCAGCAAAATCTTTTCAAGGTTTTAATCCAGAAGGTACTATAGGGAAAAGGATAAATACTGCATCTGTGATGGCACATAAGCGGGAGCTGCATGCAGTCTTGGATAAGACAACACTGTATCTTTAGACTTGGTTAAGGCAACATTGTGTCTTTAGGTTGCTGCAGAAGGTACATTGTTTCACCACTCTATAGTCCTGGTAGCTGGAACATCCCTGGCTGATGGTTCCCTGCCTGGTACTGGCCGCTGTGCTGGGTTCTATTCTCTCAGGCAGACCAGCGTGGTCACAGAACAGTGTCATTACTAAGCTCACAGCATACCATTGGCCAGCAGGTCCCACCCAAACAAGCTACAGCCGCAGAGAATACCAGCAGGGCGATCCTGAAACCATGATTTCATCTTCTTGAGAAGTAGATTGAATTCTCTTCTGATGATTTTTTTTGGGACTGAAGTAGATGCTGCCAGAACAGGGTGAGGGTGGAGGCGTGTAATAAAAGTGTTCTGTATCTTTTAGATTCACTTGGTCATTGGGAATTCTCAAGAACAGTTGCAGGATAACTTAACTTCATTGCTCTGTGGTTTGCCAGGATGACTTTGGCGCCATCATTCATGCTGCCATTCTCCTGCCCTGGGCCATGCCCCATAGCTGAAACAAGCTCAACTCCATGGAGAGGCACTGAGCTAGAAGAGATGGGGGAAACTTGGGGGGCTGCATGTGTTTTAAATCCCCCAGCCAGAACTTACCTAAACAAGATGTGCTTCCTAGAGCCTGTCAGAAAGAGTTCAGGAGTTTTAATTGAAGGTCATATATTGTTGGCATATATGTTTGGCCTCTCAAGAGAACTTGTTTTGTTTAAGGAGTTTGGTTTTTTTGTTTATTTATTTTTGAGCTGGGATCTCATTCTGTTGCCCAGGCTGGAGTGCAGTGGCATGACTATGGTTCATCACAGCCTCAATCTCCTGGGATCAGGCCATCCTTCTGCCTTAGCCTCCTGAGTCACCGGGACTACAGGTACACATCACCATACTTGGCTAATTTTTTAAAATTTTGTATAAAGATGAGTTCTCACTATGTTGCTCAGGCTGCTCTCAAACTCCTGGGCTCAAGTGATTCTCCCACTTTGACCTCCCAAAGTGCTAGGATTACAGGTGTGAGCCACTGTGCCTGGCCAAGAGTGCTTGTTTTTATTTTATTTTTTATTTTAAAGATATAGGGTGTAATTCAGGATTAAGTATACAAGTGGGCATTGTACAGGTAAAGTTTGGGCCTCCCTTTGATACCCACTTCACCTAGTTTGAGATCAGGTACCCTTATTGATGTCATGTTCCTTCTCCTCCCCGCCACCCCAGCAGATTCCAGCTACTGCCGATCTTTTTCTTATAGTATTATGGTAAATGTTCAGGGTCTGCTTTTGAGTAAGAACATGTGTTACTCAGTTTTTTGTTTCTGTGATAAGATCACTGAGTATTATAGACTCCAAGTACACCCAAGTTGCTGCAAAGTTCATAAATTTGTCCTTTATGGCTGCATAATATTCCATCGTGTATATGTACACAATTTTTTTTTCATTGAAGTCTCACTCTGTCACCCAGGCTAGAGTGCAGTGGCACACTCACAGCCTCTGCAGCCTCGACCCACTGGGCTCAGGTGATCCTTCCACCTCAGCCTTTCAAGTAGCTGGAACCACAAGTGTGTACCACCATGCCTGACTAATTTTTTTATTTATTGTAGAGATGAGGTTTCACCAAGTTACCCAGACTGGTCTTGAGCCCCTAGACTCAAGCAATCCTCTTGCCTCCACCTCCCAAAGTGTTGGGATTACAGGCGTGAGTCACTGTGCCCAGCTTATCACATTTTAAAAAATCCAGTACAGTTTTAATGGGCAGCATGGTTAGTTCCATGTTTTTGCTATTGTGAATAGTGTTGCAATAAACATGCATGTGCAGGTATCTTTTTTGTAGAATGATTTTAGTTCCTCCAGGTATATTCCCAGTAGAGGGATCGCTGGGTCATTTGGAAAGACAATTTTCTAATTTTTTTAGAAATCGTCACACTGTTCTCCATAGAGGTTGAGCTAGTTTGCATTCCCACCAGCAGTGTAGAAGCATTCTCTTTTCTCCGCATCCTCGCCAGCATCTGTTGCTTTTTGTTTTATTAGTGATGACCATTCTTACTGGGGCTAGGTGGTATCTCAATGAAGAGAGCTTGCTTTTAAAAGGACATGACTTGGTTGGCTATCTGAGCCCTGACTTCTTTTATAAAGCTTTGTTCTTGTTGCTTTGTAGTCTGCTAATTTAATTGCCCATCTCTCACTTGGAGATGTTTGATTGCAGGAGCCAAGACAGACGTGGGTTGACTGGGTTTCCTGGAAGGGTGCTGGAGAAGGTGAAGAGTTTAGGGCAGAGTTGGTCATGAGGCCAGACAGCTCCAGGGGGCCAAGAAACAAGGGCTGAGGATTCTGGAACATAGGCACAACTACCAAGTGGGCTCATTTCTAACCAAGGAATCTTGTCTGCCCTCTCAGATCCCAGGGAAAATCCAGGCCCTGGAGCAGTAAGAGAGAAGAACAGGGGGCCCCCTAAGTAACAGTACCACAGCAACCATAGGAACAGGGAGAGGTGATTCTCTCAAACCAAAACAAATGCCTGTCCCTAGAAAAAGGGGAGGACTCCGCCCTGAGCTTGCTGTGCTGGCCAGACTCCTTGGTAGCCCTGTAGTCATGCTGATGTGCATGAAACAACCCAGCCTCTCAGGGTCTTTCTTACACTGTCAGCGAGAGGACTTACCATTCCCTCTCTGTCCCACTGCTGCACCTTTGGGTTTGTTCCTGCATGTCTCCCCTTTCCCTGCCTTCTTGAATCCTGTCAGCTGGGACAGATCTGGCAGTGGCTGCTTGGGTGTGTCAGTTTACTGATGCTCAGCCATTGCTGCTATCTAGGGGCATAGATGTCTGATTATGTTTTTGTAAAATTACAGAGCTTTATGCAAATATGTTATTTATTTATTTAGAGTCAGTGTCTCATTCCATCCAAATATGTAATTAAAAAAGAAAGAAAGAAAGGCCAGATATGGTGGCTCACACCTAATCTCAGCACTTTGGGAGACCAAGGTAGGAGGATTGCTTGAGCCCAGGAGCTCAAGACCAGCCTAAGCAGCATAGCAAGACCTTGTCTCTACAAAAAATTAGCTGAGCATGGTGCATGTCTATAGTCCCAGTTATTCAGGAGACTAAGGCAAGAGGATTGTCTGAGTTCAAGGAGGTTGAGACTACCATGAGCAGTGAGCATCATGATCATGCCATTTCACTCCAGCCTGGGCAACAGAGTGAGACCCTGACTCAAAAAAAAAAAAAAAAGAAAAGAAAAAGAAAAAGTGACCACCCCAGCATGAGGTGCACCTCCTCATGCTGCCTTATTGTTCCAGGGTCCGCCGTTCCTGTCCTTTGAGGAGGACCCACGACAGCAGCCCCTGAAGCTGGCCATACAGGAGGTTTCCAGTGTGGTTAGATCAGCCGAGGAGAAGGTGAGCTGGGAATGCCTTTTCCTGCAGGAGGAAATGAATTTAATGCCAATGGTGGGGGGGTTTATTTTGTTGTAGAATTATTGAAAATGCAGAACCTTTATACCATGGGACAAAAAAAACAAACAAACAAGAACAACAACAACAAAAAACCTGGCCCATCAGCTGATGAATGGATGAGTGAGCAAGTGTGGTCCGTACATATGATGGAATATTACTCAGCCTTGAAAAGAAATGAAATTCTGACACAACAGGGATGAATCTTGAAGCCACGACACTGAGTAAAATAAGCCACATGCAGAAATCCGCATGTTGTATGATTCTATTTATGTGAAATGTCCAGAACAGACACATCAATAGAGACAGCAAGTCATTCATGTTGCCAGGGGCTCGGTGGGTGAGGGGTCCTTGAGGGGCAATGGAAGATGATTGCTCCTAAGTATAAGATTTCATATTGGACTGATGAAAATATTTTAAAAGTCATGGTGGTAGGAGTTGCACTACCCTGGATATACTTAAAGCCATTGATTTGTGTAGTTTAAACAGGGTGAATTATGTGGCATATAAGTTGTATCTAATAAATCTGATATACATATGTGTGTGTGCAATGTAATGTACACATCTGAGCTATCTAGACTTTATGTAGAATTCATTTTCCTAATAGCTCATAGGCCAAAAGAGCTTATTAGACTGGTCAGAGACCATAGATCATTAGAAAATGTTTCTGTAATAAGTCCTAAGAAACTTTAGCACTATTGTCAGTGTTGTTATTATATGCATTTCTTACTCTTGAGCTCTGAGTTGTTCCCCATTAATAAAAATGGTCTATTTGCCAGTTATATTCAGCATAACTACCAAATCCAAAAACCTGCTCCAAGTGGAGAAATATAGTATCCCTGTTGACTGCTCAATGCACCCAATTTGTAGTTTAGAGTCTAGATTTACAGTTAGATGTGAGGATAAAGTCTCACTTCAGAAGGAAAAAATAAAAAGGAATGAGTCAGTGCTTTTTATTCCCCATAACTCTACATACATATTTCCCATATGTGTATGCAGACAATATATTTTTAAAGACGGCCACTCCAGTAAAGTTCCATCCTCTGATCCTCTTCTTTCTGCCTCCAGAGTTGGCTGGTCTTCTAAGTCAGGCTGCTTTTGCTTCACTCTCAGCCTCGTGTTTCTACTTTACATGTGTGTTAAAGACATCATATCATGTATTATTTGTCTTTCATAGACACGTGTATGGCTCTACCTGCATTTATTTTCATGTTAAATGCACATGTACTATTTAGCAGACTGAGGAAGGGATGCCTGTTGACCCCAGGAGAACCTTGCCATCCCCCAGCTCTTGTATGTTCCTGGTTCCTGTCACCACTGGAGTATCATTTGTGCATTTTAAACTTTTATCATCTTCATGTGTAATTGTGCAACAAGCTTTCTCTCTTTCTCTCTCTCTCTCTCTCTAGTGCAAACAGAACTTTAATGGTGGGCATTTTATTTTTTAAGTTTTTAGTAAGTACATTTATGATGGTGACACTGACATCAATGCCTAAAATTTTCATCTATCTCTCAAAATTGAAAGGATCAGCAGGGCGTGGCAAGTCATGGCTCATGACTGTATTCCCAGCATCAGGAGGCCAAGGCGGGAGGGTTGCTTTGAGTTCAGGAGTTTTTGAGCAGCCTGGGCAACACTGAGAAACCTAATGTCTGTCTGTCTGTCTGTCTCTCTCTCTCTCTCTCTCTCTCTCTCTCTCTCTCTCTCTCTCTCTCCCCGCACAAAAATTGAAAGGATGAACATAAAGGGGGGGGGAAAGCTGCCTCCTTGAATGTCTTAACTTCTCTGTGGCCTTTCGCAATAACCTAACTGAATGTGTAAACAGACCGTAATCTACTTTTGTGCCAATCACCAAGTTACAGCCAATCAAGTATGGGCAACTGTTCAAACCGGTTTCAAATAAGGGAGACTGCGAGCTGAAGTCTACCGGGCCATGTCTCTGCCTCACTTCCAGTTTTAGCGTGCCACTTCCTGTTTCTGCACGTCACTTCCGGGTTCTGTATGGCACTGTCATTTCTCCTTAAAGCTGCTTGCACCTGGTGGCTGTGCTGAAGTCTCTGATCCTGCTCTGGTTTGGAAGCCTGCCCAATTCGCAAGTCGTCTTTGCTCCATTAAACTCTGTTAAATTTTTTTAAAAATTAAAAAATAAATAAAATTCAGGGGTATGTGAGAGGATTTCGTATACTGGCTGATGGCGAGGTGGTTTGGGCTTCTGTTGAGCCTCCCAGGTGAGCGTGGGCGGTTTTGCTTCCCTTCTCCTCCCTCTCCCCCATCAGCAGTGCCCAGTGTCTGCTGTCCTTTTGCCCGTATGTGAACGCTCTTTCTCTACTCAGAACACGGTGTGATTTTGAGAGTCATCCAGGTGGTTTTTTTTTTGAGTTGGCGTCTCACTCGGTCGCCCAGACTGGAGTGCAGTGGCCGCTCCCGGCCGCCGCAGCCTCGCCTGCTGGGCTCTGGCGATCCTTCCGCCTCAGCCTTCCGAGTAGCCGGAATTACAGGCATGTGCTACCACGCCTGGCTGATTTTTTGATTTATTGTAGAGATGAGGTCTCGCTGCCCAGGCGGGTCTCGAACCCGCGGGCTCAGGCAATCCACTCACCTCAGCCTCCCAAAGGCGCGGGATTACAGGCTGAGCCACTGAGCCCGGCCAGGTGGGTTTTTGTAGCTCTAGTTCACTTGCCTCAACTACTGTTCAGGGTGCCAGCTGAACCAGAATACACACGTATTCATCTTCTGTTGTTGGAAATTGAGTTCTTGTCTCCTCATCCTAAATTCAGGTTGAGTATCCCTTATCTGAAATGCTTGAGACAGGAGTGTTTCCAATTTTGGATTTTTATTTTTTTGACTTTGTAATATTTGGATTATTTTGTGCCAGTTGAGCATCTTTTTCTAAATTCTATTTATTTATTTATTTTATTTATTTATTTTAGAGACGAGGTCTTGTTACGTTGCCCAGGCTGGTGTCAAACTTTTGGCTCAAGTGTCCTCCTGCCTTGGCCTCCCAAAGTGCTGGGATTACATGTGTGAGCTCCTGTGCCTGGCCTCACTTAGCATCTCTAACTCAAAATCCCAAATGTTCCAGTGAGCATTTCTTTTGAGTGTCATGTTGGTGCTCAGAACGTTTTGGATTTCAGATCCTTTTAGATTTTTGGATTTTGGTGTGGGGCAGCTCACCCTGTATGGACAGTGCTGCAGTGTGCGTGGGTTTGCCATCTCCTGACTCCTTAGGCTCAGGGTGGCACAGCAATGACTTTGCTGGGTCTGGCCATGCATACTTCCACTTGACCAAGTATTCCCAAACCATTTGCCATAATTTTCTTCCAGTTTCCTCTGCCCTGGTGGCTTTTAGAGGTCTTCACATGGTCAGAAAAGCAGCCTTAGAAATGACAGAAATAGGACATGCAAACTTAAATGTAAACACAACATAGTGTTTGTACACCTGTGTTCATAGCGACATCATTCATCATAGCTGAAAGGTAGAAGCAATTCCAGTGCCCACTGATAAATGACTGGATCGACAAAAGTGTGGTCCATCTACACGATGGAATATTATTCAGCGTTAAAAAGAAAGGAAACTCTGAGACAGGCTACAATGTGGATGAACTCTGAGGACGTTATGCTCAATGAAAGAAGTCAGTCACAAAAGGACAAATACTGTATGATTCCACTTGTATGAGGTACATAGAGTAGACAGATTCATGGAGACAGGAAGTAGAATGGTGGCTGCCAGGGGCTGGAGGAGGGGGTAGGGAATTCTTATTTAATGGGTGAAGGGTTTCAGTTTGAAGAGACAAAAAAGTTTTGTGCATGGTGGTGATGGTCGCACAACAAAGTAAGTGTACTTAATACCACTAAACTGTACACTAAAAAATAGCTAAATTATTAAATTTTATGCTATACATATTTTACCAGGTTAATACAAAAAAGGAAGTGTATACACATTTTTAAAGGTTTCATTCTTTCACAAAGCTTTATTTATTTATTTGTGAGTAAGTTGAAATTTATTAGAAGATAGGAAAGCTCCTGATAGCTGGAGGGGACCCGAAAGAGGTTGCTTCCAAAGCTTTATTAAAAAGTCATTTACTGACCGGATGTGATGGCTCATGCCTGTAATCTTAGCACTTTGGGAGGCAAACATAGGAGGATCACTTGGGACCAGGAGTTCCAGACTAGCCTGGGTAACATAGTAAGACTTCGTCTCCACAAAAAAATAAAAATGTATCAAAATAACTGGGCATGGTGGTGTGTACTTATAGTCGTCCAAGCCACTCTGGAGGCTGAGGTAGAAGGATCACCTGAGCCCAGGAGGTCAGGGCTGAGCTGAGCCATGATTGTGCTACCACACTCCAGCCTGGATAACATAGTGAGATACTGATTTAAAAAAAGAAAAAAAGGCATTTTCCTTTTCTTTAACTGAGCTATAATTTACCAATCGTTGCCAAGTGTCAATGATTTTATTTATAAAATTTATTAATTTTTTTAAAAAGTCAAAATTGTATATATTTATGGTATGCTGCGTAGTGTTTTGATATATGTCTACATTGTAGAATGCTATATCTAACATACGCATTGCCTTGATACTTATCATTTATATATAATTAGAACGTTCAAAATCTCCTCTTAGCAAACTTTAAGTATACAATATATTGTTATTAACTATAGTTACCACAATGTACAATGGATCTGTTGTACTTATTTCTCCTGTTTAACTGAAACTTTTTACCCTTTGACCAAACATCTCTTTAATTCCCTACCCCTCAGGCCCTGGTAACCACCATCCTACTCTCTGATTCTTTGACTTTTTTAGATTCTACGTACAAGTGAGATCATGCAGAATTTGTTTTTCTGTGTCTGGCTTATTTCACTTAACATAACGTTCTCCATGTTTATCCATGTTGTTATAAATGATGGGATTTCTTTCCTTTTTTAAGGCTGAATAGTATTCTAT